GGGGTCGTTGAGGTGAAGAAGAGTGGGTGCCTGGATTGCACCTCAGTGATAGTTTGAGGCTGAATTGAGCCTTGCCACTGTGAAGTCAGGTATGCCCAGTCATACCTGCCAACTACTGAGGTGCAATAGAGAGCAGTTTATTAAACTTGAGCTGAAGTCCCGTATGTTCTACATTGCCTAAAATGAAACCAGTTAACATTTACTGAGAACCTTCTTCTGATATGTCTAGGTATGTTATATTTTTCACCCTGTTTGCAGCAACCTTTGGTGTACAGATGGATAAACTGAGGCTGATAAAGATTAAGTAACAGCTCAAAGATCACCCAGTTAGTAAGAATCAGAGCTTAGGGGACCAGCAGTTAGCATAATGGCTGTGTCGCTGGACTCTCACGTGGTCGACCACAGTTCAAGTCCCGGACCTGGTGGCTTAAACTCACGCCGGGTACGTGTGCGTGCGTGCCCAAGATCCTGAGAGGAGAATGGAGGAGAGGGGATTGCAGCGTGGCCATCCCCCCTGGGGGGTGATTTCCTGCTTTCTGTCTCTCTGTCTGTCTCTGTCTGGCAAGCGCACACGCCCTATAGCAAAAACCTCTCCAAAAAAAGAAAAAAAAAAAAAGAATCAGAGCTTAGAATTCAAATCCATACCACATCGTTCTCCTTTGAGGGTGAATTCAAACCTGTCTGGGGGTGTTTTTAAGCTTGACAAGGGGGCCCAGTCTGCAAGAATGTTGTGCAAAGACAAAGCCTTGATTGGCCCTAATCCAAGTCACTCAGGGCCACTCTGTATGGCTGCTCAGATTCCAAAGGCAGTCTCCTAGAATTGTAATCTGTACAACCTTAAGAAGCTGTCATGGACCCATTTTTGTAGTTACATAACTCTGCAGACTGTGCCTCCTCTCGTGTTATTATATCTAAGTCATTCTACTTTGAAAGTTTAGATAAATTTAAAGGAGATGGATAGGGAAATAAAATAGGAAGCTGGGTAATTATTTTGGCATGTGTAGTATTAAAATTGCCTAGCTGTTAAGATTTCTTCTTCAAACACGTTGAAATCATAACAGCCTTCTTCTGTTGCACATTGTCAAATGTTCATACACTGAACTATCCTGAAGGCACAGAGAAACTCCCTAAATGACAGCAATCACTGGGGGATGGTTTCAAAGAAAAGTGTCCTTTGTTTTGTTAGACACCTATAGATCAGGATGGTAGAGCTCATACTACAAGTCAGAGAACTCTTAGCATGTTTTGGGGGAGAGGGCTTGACTATCTGTCTTTCAAATCCTGAGAATCCATGTCCTCATTTTCCTACTGCACGCTCTTATCTCCTGCCTAAACTGTTGTGTTAAACTCCACTAGCCGTTTCTCTACTTGTGGCCATACAGGCAGGGTCATTTTTCTTCTATATTTAAATTCCTCATGGTTTCCTTATGGTCACAGGAGAACATCCAGACTCCCTAAGATGGTGTAAGAACTATCCCCCCTACAACCCCTAGCAGCTGACCTCTGGACTCTAAGCCATCGCTCCCATTTCTCCCAGTTCCACACTATTATAAGACCTCTTACCATTCTCATACAGAAGGGGCTGTTTCCTGCTTCCAGCCCTTTGATCATGCCCATCACGCTGTACTCCATTGCCCCCCGCCCTGATTCTGCTTGTTGTGTACTCAAGAATACAAAGTCATGCTATATATAGCATGTTAGAAAGTGTCCCATCAGTTTTCTGTCAGGCCACATGTAAGGTGACTAGCACATTCCTGTGTGGGCCTGGTCCAGAGAATGGGGATTTGTGTGTGTGTGTGTGGTTTTTTTTTTATATATATATATATTTTAATCTCCAGCATCAGCTGAGGTATTTGGTGTCCACTGGCTATGTACAGAGGGCCTGGTCCAGAGAATGGGGATTTGTGTGTGTGTGTGTGGTTTTTTTTTATATATATATATATTTTAATCTCCAGCATCAGCTGAGGTATTTGGTGTCCACTGGCTAGCTACAGATGACTGTCAAAGAGATTACTGAATGATTGAATGACTCTGGGAATGTCTTTTTCTGATTTCTTAAAAGAAAGCATAAAATATCCTACAAGGTAATTTAGTTTTTTTCAGACTTAAGGGGATGAAGGAGGAAGGGAAAGCCTCTAATTGAAGTGTGATTTGAAGGATGACAACCTATTTCCCAGTAGTTTTTAAAATCTCCATGTAAGAAGAGCTAGGATTTGATGAATCCTAACTTTCTGCAGTTGTAGATGATATGAGAGACCAATGTTGGTGCCTGGGGATTATGAGGCTATGCTGTCCATGACCTGTTTAATCCCAGGGCCTGGACTTTCCCTTGTGTTTGACTCAGGGCCTTCCTAGCAGGTCAGAGCTCAGGGCATCAGACCAGTCAGAACTGGTGAATGAGGCTTGGCATCAGGGAGAAAAGAACCCAGTGCTGGAGAGTCGACTTTGGCATGAGATGGCATATTTCTGGTGCACTTCTTATGAGCCTGTCACTCTGTCAGGTATTTCTGAGAGATATCCTTTCCTGAATGCTGTGAGACCCACACATGTTTTTCCAGAAGGCTATGAACTTGTGTGAAAGAAGAGAGGAAATTAAAAAATAAAATAAGGATGGAGCCAACAGCTCATCCCTTTATTCTGGGGGAAGCTTTGCAGCCCAGCTGTTATCAGCTTGAGTCGATAATTGAACTTTAACGCTTAATTTAAAATGCAATTATCTGTCATGTGGGTTCTTCTAGTCTAAAACTATTAGTACAGCTCTCTCAAAACATTGTTTGGTGTATTTAAGGATTGAGAAAATGAGTAAATGGGTTCATATTATTGAAACCAACATTCCCATCATGAAAGAAGGGATCTACAAATACATAGTAGAGGGAGGCAAGAAAGAACCACGTAGGGATGCCTAGAAATGTCAGCCAGAATATGCACTTTCCGCAAGCTTTCAGAAGACTCCTTTGTCTCCCCAGTTATGATGTTTTGAGTTACAATGTTTCACCTTTACAGTGGTGCGGAAGTGATCCACGGTTCAGTAGAAGCTATCAACAACATACAGCATGATGCAACGGACGTGCTAGGCAGCGTCATTGAGCGGCAGCTCCCAGTCAGCCCTGCAGTCACAGGGTCAACAGCTGATACCATGCAGGGAGGCTAGGCCAAGCTATGCTGTTCAGTAGGTTAGGCATATTAAATGTATTTGGATTTACACATTTCAATTTCCAGTAGGTTTTAGGAACGTAACCCTATCATAAGTCAAGGAGCATCTGTCTTCGTAGTGCAACTTTTTGTAAGTCTGAAATTAGTCTTTCATATTTTTATTCCCCAATATGTGTTTCTGCTTGCTCCTATGGTGGAGACACATATCCTGAGGATACCATGATAAGTAGGTTTTCTTGGGTGCCTATTACTCACTATACTTTATGTAAAACCAGATTGGTTCACAGCAAATAGTGGATTGTGTTTCCTCGCAGGATTCTCTGTAGAGCTTGCCTTGGTTGCATTGCCAGCCACTCATAAACAACAACCCTTGGGTGTTGTGCTCTCCCTGTTAGTCAGCCTTCCAGCGCACAGTCCACATTTACTGAGTGTTTCATGGGGCCCCCATCATGCTAAATTCTAGGAGACTTAATGACAAAGAATATGTAATCCCTGCTCAATCCTGGGGGGGAAGACGACTGGTAAATGGGTGTTTTCTATACAGCTGAAAAACTAAAATAGCCAAAAAACACTCTTGGCTAAATTAGTTATTATTTTCTAAATTAATGTTTTCTGTTCTTTTCCTTTGGTCTCTCATCTTTCTTTTCTTTTCTTTTTTTTTTGTTTGTTTCTTTTTAGAAGTCCAAAGCTTCTGAGAAGGCCATCTCTGTGGGTCAGACAGTTATCACGAAGCATCGGAACACCCGCTATTATAGCTGCAGGGTGATTGCTGTGACATCACAAACCTTCTATGAGGTGATGTTTGATGATGGCTCATACAGCAGAGACACATATCCTGAGGATATTGTGGTAAGTAGGCTTTCTTGAGTACCTGCTACCCAGTGTACTTTCTGTAAAACCAAACTGTCTGAATGCTTTAGAATTGTTTCCTTTGGCTTTTCAAGTACCTCACTTCATTCGATATACATGACCTCCATCATTCTAAATAGTACACAAATGAGTTTAGTTGGATCTTCCTAGATCCTTTTAAAAATTGAGAAATATTACTTGGCCAGAGAATGAAAGATCCTATCGTAACCCTTTTTTGCTGTTTCAGCAAAATACCCAAGACTGGGTAATTTATAAAGAAAGGATGTTTCCCATACTTCTAGAGGCTGAAAGTCTATGGTCAAGGTGCTGGCATCTGGTGTTTGTTGAGTGCCTTCTTGCTACATCCTCACACAGCAAGGCAGAAGAGTAACCTAGCTGAAGACTGCATGCTGCATGTTTCTAAAAGCCTCTTTTAATCCCATTAACGAGGCTGCAGCTAGCATGGACCAACTTCCTGTTAAAGTCCCCACCTCTAATACAATCACATTGGCAACGCCTACATTTTGGAGGGCACATAGAACTCAGATGCAAATCCATCTATTTGCCTGTTCTCTGTTACAGAGTGTTAGGAAATTTGAATCTCTGTATTTTGTTTTGTTTTATGCTTAAAAAGAGAACATGACTTTTTATTTTTTGAGAGGTTTTTGCCATAGGGCACATGCACTTGCCAGAAAGCCAGAGAGAGACAGAAAGTGAGAAATCACCCCCGCCCCCCCTGGGGGGGTCGTGGCTACAACACAATCCCTTCTCCATTCTCTTCTCGGGATCTTGAGCACTCACACACACACGTCCAGTGTGTATTTAAGTCACTGGGTCTGGGACTCAAATCATGGTCGACTACATGGGAGTCAGCGACATAGCCATTACGCCAATTGCTGGTCCCGACGTGACTTTTATTAATCTGACTTGACTGTGTGTTTAAACCTTTGGATGTTTCACATAGGAGTAACAAAAATCACGTGGGGAATAGGCTGTGGCATTAACTGAGTTTTTAAACTGTACCCAGGCCAGAACTTTATGTGTTTTCATCTGTCTATCTGTCTCTGTCTCCTCCTCCTCTGTTCACTTCAGTGAATACTTTGGGATTTTAGAGGAACGAGTGAATGTGTATCAGGGGCAATGACTGACTTTGTTTCTCGGGGTTTACTTTTTAGCAGGTGTTTCACAAGAAGATCACTTTCCATAGAGGGTTTTTTGGAACCAAAATCAAATCCCATAACTGAGATGAGAGTTCCTTAGCCTGGCAATGATCCTGTAATCATTTCTTCTTTTAGGGGGCATGTCAGTTTGGGGAGCCAAGCCTTAAATGCAATCATTAATTACTCCTGCCTTGTCCTGGGTCTCTGTTAATGGTTTGCTTTTATTTGTATTTGGATTGATGTTTCTAAATGACTCTTTAATAGTAATACTTATGCATTGTGTGCAATGGAAAATTAAATGTAACCTTAGGAGAAGGCTCATAAATATTCCTAGAATTTTAGTCTCCTGAGGCTGAAGAAACACTGATTTAGTCAACATTGTTATGCTTACCTCTCTATGCTGTTAAGACTGACAAGTTTATAAACAAAAGTGACCTTATTTGAAAGATTTTGTAACAATGAATTTAAACAAATTAAGAAATCCCAGAACTTGGTCATATACCAGAATAGTTTTTTCTCAGGATTCTCTGTGGAGCTTCCCTTTACTGTGTTGCCACGCCATTCATAAACAGCAACCCTTAGTTGATGAGCTGTCCTTGTGAGAATTAGTCAGCCTCCCAGCGCTTAGTTCACACTCACTGAGTGTCTTCAGTGGGCCCCTGTCACACCAGGTGCTAGGAAACAGAGATCATGCAATCCCTGCTCAATCCTAGGGGCAGGCTGTCTTAAATGAGTGTTTTCTGTAGAGTGTGCACATGTGGTTCTTTCCATGAACCCCAAGCAACTTAACCACCTATTGGGTCTGCAAGAATGAATAGAAGATTCCAGGGTTATTAGTAAGGGCTAATGCTTACTGACATTTACCATATGCAAGGCACCTCCAAGAACTTGACCCATGAGATTAGTGCCTCCCTCTAACCCTACATGCTAAGTACTATTAGTTTTCAGATTTTGCTGCTAAGGAAACTGAAGCACAGAGGTAAATTGCATTCCCAAGGTCACATGTAGTTAGGAAATTTCAGAATCAGTATTCATTCTCAAGTAAGCTGGCTCTAGAACTCCATTCTTAAGCCTTGGAGAGAAAGACTATTTAGTGCAGGAGGAGATGGGATAAGCAGGAGTGAGAAAAGCATGAAAAGTAACAGTAGACAGAGGCCTCTACACCTTTGTCAGCCCTGTGCTGGCTATTCCTTGTTTCAGAATTAGCCACCTTTTGTGCAAGCTGTGAACAATGAGTCAGCAAAAAAGGAAAACCTTTTGGTGGGGAGCTTTGTGGGTGGGTAAAGGAATTCTGAGTTGCAAATGCTCAAACCATAGTAATGGTAAATGAGCAAAGCAGGCCTTCATTAATGGTAGTACTTAATGAATCCTAGAGTTCCTTTCACATCGTCAACCTGCACACTCCCAGCTGGTTTGAAATGTCCCTAGAATATCCTTAACTTGTAAATGGGAAAAGAATGTCTGTGATCTCAGAACTTTTTTGAAATGCCACAAGTCTTCCTTTGACATCTTCTGTTTCCTCTCTCTATGAACCAAAACAAATATGTGAGTGTTGTGAGACGAACATAGACACTAAAATTTGGATCTTTCAGGAGCACTATGTCTTTAAAACCAACAAGAATCATATGATTTAATGAGCTGTAGCATTTTCTTTTTTTAGAGTTTTTTTCTATAGAATGCATGCACTTGCTGGACAGAGAGAGACAGGAACAGAAAGCAAGAAATCACCCTTGAGGAGGGATAGCTATGCCACAATCCCTTCTCCATTCTCTTTTTGGGATTTTGGGCTTGTATGCACAAGTGCTGGGCATGAGTTTTAAGCTGCCAGGTATGTGACTTGAACTGCAGTTACCTATGTGGGAGTCCCGTGACACAACGGTTACACCGTCTGCTGGCCCGAGCTGTAGCACTTTTTTTTTTTAAGCCCCCAAGTCCAGGACTTGAACTGCGGTTGGCCACATGGGAGTCCAGTCCCCTTATCTCCCACGCCACCTGCTGGCCCTGCTGTAGCACTTTTGATAAGGGCTTGAGGATCAGCAGTGGGCCATTTGTGTTATGTGTACCCAGATCTGCGGCCTTGGCGGGAGTTGGGTAGCACATGCAGTGGCATGAGCTGATATACACTGGAAAGGAGGAGGCATCTGACTAAATTTGTATAACTAATAATTTCTTCAGACCTGCAAGCAGATCTTTTCTCTTTCTTCCAGTTTTGCCTTCCTCTATACACCATACCACCATGTCCCAAATTGTTCACATTTTTGGTTTTTTGTTCCAGGCCTCTTACATCAATTAAGAGTAATTCAATCACATTGTGTTTTTTAATTTCACCTACTTTCTAACAGTGTCACCATATGTTAACTTCTGTGAGCTCTTTCATCTTTGTTATCTTGGTGCTTAATGAGGCTTCACTATCAGCTCTATAGGGAAAGTTTTTTCCTTTATAATATTGTATCAGGCAGGGTTCTCCAGAGAAACAGCATCAGAAGGGTATATTTATGCTTTGTTATTATAGAGACTGAGATCCAAGAAGAGTTGATATTTCAGTTGATTGCTTAAGGCTGGAAAAAAACAGTTTATACTTGGAAGCAGTTAGATAGGAAGTGTTCCCTTTTATTGGGGGGAAGGTGGACCTTTTTTGTTTTATTCAGGTTTTCAACCTGATTGGACAAGGCCTATTCACATCAGGGAGGGAAATCTTCTTTATTCCTTCTATCAGTTTAAATATTAAACCCATCAAGAAAGATCCAGAATAAAATTTGATTAAATACCTGGGCACCCCATATCTCAGTCGTATTGACATAAAATTAACTGTCATAAGTAAGTTGTGCAGGGACCATAGGTTTGTGAACTTTAGAAGACTCTGGCGCCTTCAGAAGCTCTGACTCGTTTCATGTGAAGCAGCCACGTTGTGTCCGTTCGTAGTGTCCTATAGACTCACTCTGGTAGCAGTGCAGTTTGTCCCAGTCAGCTCTGTCCCTGAAATACAGTCGTGGGTATAAAGGATTAATCAGGATCGGGGTCTGCGTTTCTTACCAAAATGAATGAAACCTACATGATTAAATGCCTTTGTAGTATGTCAATTATACTTTAACTTGAGATACAGAAATTTGATGTTAAATTTTAAGATGTAATTATATTATAAATGTTTTTTCACATATACTTATTTACATACATGATACTATATAAATATGTTTACATCACACATCATTATTTAATCCATGGGGCTTAATTATTTAGATCATCCTACTTCTGCTTTTCATACTTATCTATATCTGAACTGTCTTCTGCAAGGTGGGGTTCCCTGCTTCATACTCTCATTGGGTGTTTCATTAGGATGTGAAGAAACATGTAATCAGGTTTGTTTATGTCTCAGTACCTTGCAGCTCATGGCAGAATAATAATTTGGTGGAAACACTAAATGTGTTTCACATTCCTCAGAGAAATATTGTTTTCATTAGAAGATATATTGGTGACAACAAAGTGGTGGTAGGAAATGAATTTTTCTCCTCTCTGTCCAAAAATTCTCTAATCTACACAATGTGCATACCAGGTGTGAGTTCCACTGTGAAGAATCATTCATCAAATCCTGTATGACTAGCTATTGAAGAACTAGTTTCTCTAAGCCTCGGGTTCTTATTAACTAGAACTGCTGTAAGGGTATAGTCCAATTTCAGTTTTTAAGTAGGATAATAGAATTTAGGCTATCAAGTTTAAGCATCTCAAGCCATTTATTTATGTATGACATAAATGTCCCTTGTGATGCTTTAGTAATGAAAATTATATTCTCTTATGTATAGAGTCAGTGCTTACAAATAATTTCATAAACCCAACAGGGAAGAC